TTCCCTAGCTTGTCGTGCATTCTTTCCAAAAATTGGGGCTTTTTAAAAATGTCCAAAACCAGGACTGTCCCACCAAAAGCGGGACATCTGGTCACCTTAGCTTATACATGCGTATATATGGTATATTGCCATTGTTCTTTTCTAGACATTTAGTTCCTAATGAGCCCTTGGGATCAGCTCCTCTTCTACCACCCCCCCCCAAGCCCTCATGGCCCCTTGACAGATTATAGATGGTTGTTATTTTCATCTCTCACACCAACCACGGTCTCCCTTCCCCTCTGGTTTGTTGTTCTTCCCCCTGGAGGGGTGTGTGGCTGTGTGCCACTCATTGTGATTGGCGCCCCCTTCCTCCCCCTTTCCCCTCCCTCCCCTCCCCTTCTGGTGTCGCTATCCCCATTCCTGATCCTGGTTCCGTGTGTCCTGAGCGTTATCTCTTGCCTCTACCTATGTACATGTTCCGGTCCAGTCCAGAGTGGGAAGCAGCAGTGAGGTCATGCTAGTGGAGGATCAGGAAGCCTAAAGGAATCAGAGGTATATTGCGTGATCCATCGGTGCTCTACTGCACCCTGATTGACTCATCCCTTCCCTGCGACCCCTCTGTGGAGGGATGATCCATTGTCTACAGGTGGGGTTTGGGTCTCTGTTCCGACCCCCGTCATTCTCACCAAAGCATTTTTGTTTGTTTGTTATGAATCTTCTGATGCCTGTTACCTGGTCCCGATGACACCTCATGATCACACCGGCTGGTGTGCTTCTTCTATGTGGACTTGTTGCTTCACTGTTGGATGGCCACTTGTTTAACTTCAAGCCTTTAAGACCCCAGATGCTATGTCTTTTAATAGTCGGTTTCCATCCACCGTCTTTACCACCTTTGCTTATGCACTCATTTTGTCTTCAGCGATCATATGTGTGTGTGGGGTGAGCATCACAAGATGCCATTTTGTTAAAACAAAGTGTTCTTGTATTGAGGGTGGGTATGAGCTGAGGCCCAAGGCCAATCCCCATCCTCAGTGTATTGCCTTATAAATACATATACATGGGCCAGTACCTCTATTATCTTATTTATTAAATACTTTTATTGGGGTTTTTTACAACTGTATCACAACCCATACATTCATCCATTGTGTCAAGCACATTTGTATATATGTTGCCTTCATTTTCCAAGCATTTTCTTTCTACTTGAGCCCTTGATATCAGCTCCTCATTTCCCCCCCTCCTTTCCCACCCTCCCTCCCTTATGGACCCTTGATAAATTATAGATTATTATATTCATATCTTTCATCATCCTCTGTTGCCTTTCACCCACTTTTCTGCTGTTCATCCCCCTTGGAGGGGTTTATATGTCAATCCTTGTGACCCCTTTCTCCCCCCACCCTCCCCTTATCTTCCTATTTTCTCTATTCTCATTATTGGTCCTGAGGAGTTTATCTGTCCTGGATTCCCTGTGTTGCAGGCTCTTATCTGTTGCAGTGTGCATG